CCAGAGCTTCTAGCCCTCTAAACTATCCCAAGCAAACGGCACTCTCTCTCCAATTTTAAACATCGTTGAGAAAGGAGATGCCACAGAATACCTTACACTTCCTTTTGAAATCATCCCTTTTGCTTTGCTCAGTGGAGAAGGCGGCACCAGGGGGACCAACCTCCAGGGAAGTCACGCGATGATGTCAGGCAGTCCTGAGTTGGCTGGAGTCCCTGGCTCCTCCCCCTCCCAACAAACCCAAGCTGGGACCTTTCCTTTCTACCTGGCTCTTAGGGCTGACGGATCTCCCCAGCAAGTCCCCTACAGGCCTGTGAGTTCACACACACTCATCATTTATGAACTTGAGCATCGTCTACTCATAGGTAACTTTCAGCCTCCTTGAAAGGACAGCTTCTCTCTGGGACCTCCCACTTCTTGCCTGCTGAGGTCACCTGGTGAGCCCAGCAAAACACCATTCTTCATTAGCAGGGATGAAAAATGCCTGTGTGTCACCACAAGGTGATCCGTTTGGATCTATGGAGACTAGAAATCATGTTACAAATCAGTTCTGTTGCAAGTTCTAGTTCCCCTAGCAGAGGAATCTGGGTTTCTCCTATACTGGAGGGGGAAGCTTTGAATTTAGCCAAAAGGCGAAGTTGCTGGGACGGCAACTGAAAAAGAGTAAGGGGTGGGAAATTTCAAAGCAGAGATGTGATAGCTGGATTTTTTTCTAATCTTTTTTTTCTTCTGAAACATAATTACACATGGCAAAATGAATAGATCTGAAATGTATGGTTCAATGAATCTGAGGAATGTATGCACCAGTGTAACCTACACCCATCATCCTATAAAGTTCCCTTATGCCCCTTTCCAGTCAATTCCATCTCTCTCCGCTAGAGACAACCACGGTTGATTTCCATCCCCCTCATAGCATGTGTTTAGACTTAGTGGACTTGAGACCTGTAACTTTGGTCTTAGGTCATCTGAGCAAATCAGCAGCAGCTCAGATGTCTCTACTTTCTTAGAGTTGAAAAAGGTCCTGCCTGAGCCACTAGTGCTTGGCTCCGCTGCCCCCAGTATGCCATGTGACCCCCAGGGCTACTCTCTGAGCCACAGCCCTTCTCTCAGCCAAAGAGGTTAGCGTCAGTCTCTCAGGTAAGTGAGTGGCGAAAGCTCTTGGTAACCCGGATGGTGCATGCTTTGTTGATTAATATCTGGAAGTGCGATGCACAGAGCCACAGCATGTCAAGCAGCATGTCGATTTTTCCTGAAGCACCTCACAAAAGGGAACCATTCCTTTTGTGCACTTCCTTTTAGAAACAAAGGATTCCGTGACCACCTTCTTCCAGGCTTCTAGCCATCAGGATGGCTGCAGAGCTGAAATGATTAGTCAGGGTGGAGGGTGGGAATTGAACGTGTGGGTGTTTGTGAACCCAGCACTGAGCCTGCGGTCCATGAAATTGAAGGATCACAAATTCTATTGGATTAAACTTGGCCAAATGTCTCGAAGGTGAAAAGTACTTTGTCTGAATGCAAAGCTTTGCTGTCTCTGGAATGTACCTTCTGCAGCTCAGTTCTTAATCACTGTATATTTTTTCACTTGGACAAAGGCTGCCTCTGCTAATAGCATTTTCAACCACCTTCAGCTGCTTCGCTCAGCTACGCCAAGGCCTCAGGCTGAGCTGGCTGCAGTTTCCTGGCACCATGATCTGTTCCCAACTGACCAGCATTGAGGAACAGCACACATTCACACCCTGAAAAAATTCCTTTCCCTGTAACTAAGCAAGATGCCAGGCAAAGGCAGAATTACCACTCCCCTTCCTAAGTGTCTCCTGCAGAACCGTCCAAACTGGAGGCAAGGATGGGGGTGAAGAGGAGAAAGGAAAGACCCCTAGAAGGTGCAGGGTGGGAGCTCTCCTCTCTGTGCGCAGAGCAGTAGCTAGGAGCTCCCAGCAAGCCCCTAGCAGCATACACCTTGGGGCAGCTCATCTCTGAACACCGGTAGCCTCTGCTGTCAGGTTTCACTTTGATCCCTGAAAATTATAAGAGCCTCAGCTCTTCAGAAGACAGGCAGCTGCTGAGCCAGTGTGATTGCAGGATTTCTTCCCCAAAGCCTGAGGCCAGCATCTAGCCTTGCCTGCACCCTGCATGAGTAACCACCTTCCAGCCTCACCCACGAGGTCACTGCCTAGTGAACAGATTGCGGCTGGGCTGAGCTGCCCCCTGAGCCGACCTGAGCCATCATGACCTCCTTTAGCAGCAGAACGGGCATTTGGTAAATGTGTGAGGGCAGGAGCGGGAGAGGGAGACAGAAATGCCACGGAGTACCACCTGGATGGCTTCGAGGTTGGGAACAATCTCAGGGTGTTTTCTCCCTCCGGGCTGTCAGCTGCAGCTCCGCCCCCAACTGTGAAGCGCTGCAAGCAGCTGGGGGAGGGGAGGGGAAGGATTGATGGGCTGGCCACAGGTCTTTGCAGTCAGAGCTGTGAGGCTGAGCTCCGGGACTTAGGCAGGAAGAGATTAATTAACGCCTCCCAGCCCAGCCCGCTTTACGGAACTGGGAGGTGTGGAGGGTAGGGATCCTCAGGGCCAAATCCACCTAAAACAGACAGACACACAATCATCCAGAAACAGAACCTCTAACCTCCCTCAACCACAGCCCCTTCTCCAGCCAAAATGACCTCACTAATGAGAATGAAGCTGTAATGAGGGTTTGGATGCCTGGTAAACCTCACCCTCTTTGTCTCTGGGCTTTTAACATCCGCACTGGCAACGGACTGTTATTTAGAAGCTTTAGTGATTCCTTTTTTTCACACCCGCCAGCTAAATCAGAGCCCCAAATGCCATTGTATGGCAAACCTGGAAATATATTTGGGTACACCATGTGTAATTTGTGGCCTGGTAGAGGAGGGATGGAAGGAGGGGGGAGGAGCTGGTATTTGGTGTGTGGTTTCCACAGCAATAAGCAGTACCCTAGAGGAAAGCAGCATTCCTTGGTGCCTTTCACGTGAGCAGGGATGGAAAAGGGTGAAAGGAGCTGGGGGAGGTTTGGTAGAGCCCGCGTACCAGGAGGCCCCTAGACTCATCAGCTCCACATTTCCCCATGCTTCCTACCTTCAGGACTACATGAAGAAGGCCCATTCCCAGGTCCACCACCTGGATGACAAACGCCTGCAGCTCCACGTAAGAAAGGCAGTCAAGGAAAGTCCCGGCTCCATGTGTGCTTTAGAACCAGGGCTGGAGGGAGTCCTCGGCAGTCAGCCTCTGGCATCTGTGAGCTACTGTTGTACCTAACTCACTCCACACAGAGGAGTAGCCATCCTGCTTTTAGTGACTTGCAAAGACTGGCACTTGAAACCCTCTAGGATTAAAAAAAAAAAATCTGATTAAAAAATTCGTAGCCCAGTATAAATGTATCCGGCTGCAGGCTAAGTTTAGTGTATCTGAAGATTCACTATAAGGTTGCTGATGGGGATAAGGTTGCTGATGGGGAGATTGTGTGTGTGTGTGTGTGTGTGTGTGTGTGTGTGTGTGTCTGTAGGGAAGAAAAAAATGAAAAGTTTTGTCTCACTAGCAGCAAACATGAGGCATGAAAGGAGAAAAACAGAGCAAAGGGGAGGTAGATGCAGACTTCCCAACTGCCCCTGAGAGCATTTGCATTTCTGGACAAGCTCCTGTCCCTGCCATCGGAATTCTCAAAGTCAAGCTGGCACGTCCCTCCGTGGAGAGCTAAGCCAGATGACATGTTGTCCTGCATCCAGCAAACTCACAGCCCATGTTGTTCGTTTGTTGGAAATGCCCATTATGCATCAATTCATCAATCAGCAGGTTTATTGAGTACCCTACCAGGCTTCACAAACCTGATCAATTTTTTTTAATTACATCCAGCTTACATGCAGCCAAGCCCAGTAAACAAGATGAGCCCTCACACCCCACTTGGAAATGAACATGAGGGATTGCTGGCCCTTGAAACCTCACGCTACCAAACGCTGCAGCCCGTGCTGATGAGCGACCACGTGCTACCCTAGGCAGATGGCGCTGACCCACTGTCAATATTAAGATGGGTTCTGAGTGTTTTCTCAGACACAGTGATCAATCTGCTTGGGTCCAGCCATACTCTCCTCTAGACGCCTGTCCAATGCTATGGATTTCTGAAGAGGGTGAGCAGGGAATGGGCGCAGACTATGGCTATAGGGAAATAAGCAGAGGACTGAGCCTTCCCCATCCTCCTGTTGGTGCCCAGTCCCACATCAGAGGCTCCTCCCGGGCATGTGAACAACTGGCCTCTCTCAGGACCTCTATGCCCCATGTACCAGGCCTCACGATAGAGATCATCCTTTTTGTTTTTGAAAGGACAAGAACGGCTTCATAGTTTGTAAGTGAAGGGCTTGTAAGACTTCCTGATATGGAATCATCAAAGTCAGCCTCTGGGTACCAGAGATGGGGACCAAGGAGTGTATTGCCCTGTGTCCTGCAGCCCAGGCTCCAAGCCTCGGCAGCGCCCCCAGACCTTCCCAGTCCCAGAACAGGTTGTCAGGAGGACCCAAGGAGAGCTCAATCCTGCATTTTAAACAGGATTCCTAGGTCTTCTGCCTTCTTCTGACTAGTTAATTCATTAGTTCCCAGTCACCCAGATTCTTAGCCATCATCTGTTTGGGTCAACCCACCCCCCGTGATCTTACTAGTCCCCAGGCCACCTTTCCTTCCTCACTTGGATAAAATCAAGTTCAGGGGCAGCCCACAGGCATTAAGAGACACTCTGCCTAAAGGTTTGGGGTAAGTAAAATCCCCACGCCCCCAAAAGTGTACCAGCGACACACCCTCACCCCCTAACCTGCCCCAAAGACCTGGTTGTTCAGTTGTCTGTGGTTAAGGCTCCCAAACCGAGAGATGAAAGGGGTTGGTGAGTTAAGTCGTTTGGCCTCGTGGCTCGTGCCAACAATTAATCCACCCGTCTGGCTCTCTGTGTCTGTCCTCTGTGTGTGTGCGCCTGTGGTGCCCCTGTGTCGCTGTCTCTGCAGGGAAAGTCGCTGGCGGGCAAGCGCCTCACCGGCCTGATGCAGTCCTCCTGACGGTGCCCCCCGCAGGGCCCGGGCCCGAGGACCACGCGGGCAGCCGGCTGCGCTCCACATCTGCAGACAGAGCTTCCCTGCGGGGAGATTTGGTCACTGTGAAAGAGAAAGAGTGAGGGCCGTGATGGGCAACGGTGGGGAGACGCGGTGGGTGATCCAGAGGGAGGCCAGAAGGAGAGTCCACGGAGCCTGGGGTCGGCCAGGTTGAGGCCCCTGTTTACAACCCTCTCTTCCTTGTATAGTCGTGTGCCGACACCCCACTCTCTAGGGGGTCACGGCCCCTAACACGTTCAGGGCAGAGCACCCGGTGGGACTCCCGTTGTGACTGTCAGCTGAGGTTAGATTCTGGCTGTCATCACTCCTCCCGCCGTCTGGGGGATCACGCCTTCCAGCAAACTCAAGAGGACCCCTGGCCCTGAGCGCATCCAGTATTGCACCCCACCGCCTCGCTGGTGCACCCGCGGCACCCCCTAGTTACACCACTGTGTCCCAACCACCTCCCGCCTCCTGCCTCCCACATCTCTGCGGCCGCTGCGTGCAAGGAGCCGGGGCCGGGCTGCCCTCACGCCACTCGCCCCAATCACACCGTCAGCACTGAGCCATCTCCTGCACTGCAGCACCTCAAGTTCTTCCAACCCCCTCGGAGGCCACCTTTCAAGGAGGTCTCCACAGGCGTTGGCGGCTGCCCTCTGATCCTGCCACACGTCTCGAGGGTCCAATACCAGAGGAAGCACTGGTGTTGATGAAAGAGCTTGTGGTTTAACAGCCGTGAAGGTTCTGACCATCTTTTACATTTTTTATTATTTCATAATTTATTCTGTTGTGGCCCCTTGCTCCGTGGTGTGTCCCCGCGTGTCTTACTCAAAATAAACGTAGCGGTGAACTTGGGGCCCATTGGGATCCTCCCCTCCGGCAGCTCCAGGTGGGAGCTGGGAGGGTCCCAGGTGGAGGGGCTGGGCCCCAGGCTGGCAGTCCCAGGAGTGGCTGGGCCCCTGCGGCCAGGTCTCAGTTGTGTCTGAAGCTGGGGCAGAATCTGTGCCCAGAAGCGAGGCCAGGGCCCAGTGGTCCTCTGGCGGCCCAGCAAAGGCTTTGCCCTCCACAATGCCAATCATCACAGGGCAATGCCAGCACAGAGCTCAGCCTGCAAATGACCATCCGCCCACTGGCTGTGAGGGAGTGATACAGGGCACCGAGTCGGGTGCCTGGCGCGTAGTAGGTGTTTTGCAAATGGTAGCTATTAGGCTCATTGTTGTCGCTGTCATCGTTGTGACTCCCATGAGCCCTCCGACAGAGCTGTGTAAGCAACGTGCTTTTGAATTCAGACACTCACCCCCGCCTCCACACCTGCTATGACCATCCTCCTTTGATCTATTCTGGCCGGAGGTGAAAAGTCTCCCTTGGGAGTGTATAAACAGCAAACACCGAAGCAAAACAGCAATCACTGGTATTTCTTTACTTGTGTGGGCAATTTCACCAGCCGGTGAGGCTCATAAGCTTGTTTGCAGATGCCGATTCCTGGGTGCTCCCCCAGGACCATCTTTCCAAGCCCACCTTCGTGCCCTGTCCCCGGGGCACCAGCTTCCATCCCTCCCAGCGGGGCCACCGAGGGCATGAGGAGTCGTGATTACAGTTGGACCGTGGTGGGTTCTTGACCCCTGCGCCTCAGTTTCCCCCATGGCAGTGTTTGCTCTCCCTTCTCGGTACAGTGGAAATTAGAGACATTATGTTGAGTCCTCAGAGTGCCTCCAAAGCGGGGGCTGTAGACCCAGATTCTGGGAAGACACTCCCTCCCCCTCGTGCCACACAACCTGGGCTCAGAACCTGGCCCCTGGCAGACAGCTGGCCACTGCTTGATGAGTAAATGAGTTTGGTGAAGCCCGCTCCCATAGTGTGGGGTCTTCTGACCCCTCCTCTTCTCGTCCCATCCTTTTTTTGTCCCCTTGCTTTTCACACAGACCTCCTGTTTCAGAACAAAATTCCCGATCATGTTCCTCTGCACCCAGCATTGCCCAGAGGAAGCTATTCCCTGCCGAGGTGCCCAGGCTATGCTGACACTGACACACAGGGTAGGTGGGCAAAGGCAGTTCTAGAACAGCAGGTGCCTCTGTGCCCTCAGTTATCGAGGGCAAGGGGCTGGCTGCCTCCTGTCCTTCCTCGTGGCTGCAGCCAGGGCAGGGGTAGTCTCCCTGGCCAGGACTTCTGTGACCCCCTGGCTGCAGCTCCTGAGGCTTGACCCACCTTGGAGGTCCCCAGAAGGCCCACCCAGAGCCAGATGGACTGCAGCCCTGAGATGGAGCAGGCTGAAGGCTTCCAGACACCTCTGGGGACATCCAGCCGGCTTGACAGACATAAGGGCGCTTCAGATGGATTCAAACCCAGAGCAATAACCCCCCTCAGCCCGCCTCCCAACCAAGGCATGTTCGGTCTTGTGACTGCCACCACGTACCACCCAGCAGATCACACCCAGAAATGGGGGGTAGAACAGGATTGCTCCATCCAAGCGGGCTAGTCCAAGGTCAGTCTACCGTGCAGACCTTAGAATGCAAGTACACTTGGAAAATCTGATCTTGGTCAGTTCCCCGTTGGCCTGGTGGACACAGCCAAAAATTCAGACCAGAATTAGACTTTCGAAGGCAATTCTGTAGCAAAATAAACTTTGCTTTTTTTGCCCTGTCCTGCCTTAGCTCCCCTGACTGGGCATGGTCTCTGGATCTGGGATTCTTCCCGATAAGGATGCACAGGGCAAATACCATGTTGGCCGCCCCACAGCCAAAGCGTCAGGGCAGTCTCAGAAGTGACCACCCACCCATCAGGGCAGACACACAGGCACCAGGCATTGGGCATCTGACCGCCATAGACTTTGCCTACATGGGAAGAGTAAAGCTTGTAGGTTGGCACATGTGAGTGCCCAGCAGCAGCCAGAGGGCCTGACCAGAGCAGCAGGGGCTCTCTGGGCTGGAGAGAGGGCTCCTGCCCTTCTAGGAAGGGATACTCTGTTCTGCTGGGAAGGGGTTGCTGTGCCCCAGGAAAGCAGCAGGGTCTAGGCCACCAGTGCAGTCAGCTGCATCGTGCTCCAGACCAACCCCTGCCAAGGGCCGGCACCCGGGAGGGACCTCTCCCCACTCTGAGTCGCTTGTTGGACGAGGCACGCTCCAGGGCCTTTCCCTGTAGCAGGGCCTTTCCCTGTAGCAGGGCCTTCCCTGTAGCAGGGCCTTTCCCTGTAGCAGGGCCTTCCCCTGTAGCAGGGCCTTTCCCTGTAGCAGGGCCCCTGTTGTGTCCAAACTACCTCACCAGCAGGGCTTGAAGCAGCAGCTGCCACCCACCCGGCTCCTCGGCTAGTTGTAGAAGTTGATGTTTTTCTAAAAACGCCCCCCTCGCATTATGCTCCAGGTGCATGGGCTTCAAAAACCACCACTAGCGAGCCTTCCCAGAAGCTGGAAAGAATGGAGGGCTGTTGGTCTTTGGGCCTTGCGGAACATATTGAAGGGAGGTGTTCCAGCAAAGTCCAGGAGCTGGAAAGTCCTGCGGGGGAACGTAACATGCCACCAGCCTCCAAAAGGGCTGTCTGAGCTGAGTATGTAGCAAGGACCATGTGTGGCACAATCAAAAAGTGGCCAAATGAATCCCTGAGAACTCACCTCAGGACCCTCTGAAGAGAGGTCTGTGTTCATGTAACCATGGCAATGGCAGACGCCAGCAGCCTACTCATTAGTACCACCCACTGGTAAGGCATCCCCTGGGTACAACCCAGGGGCCATAAAGTAGCAAAGTAGCAAATGTAGCAATAAGGGGCCCAGGGCCATAAAGGGACAGGGTCCTAATGGCCGGGCCTCAGCCCTCTCCCCCGTCCCAAATGAGGGCTCGGAGCCAGAGGCTGTCAGCTGTCCGAGGAGGGAGGCCCTGCGCCGCGCCAAGGGCTCCTGGTCTGTATTCTATGCCCACTCGACGCATGATCACAGACACGTCGGAATGGCCTTCACATAGTGCATGTGGTTCTCATTAGTTTATTTTTCTGAAATTTGGGGATTGGACTCCAGAACCAAACATGCTGGTACCATCTAAAAATAAATGACTTGAACCCACTATAATCCAGCGCACTCTGTGTGGCTCCTTGGTTTGGGGGTTTGTTGGGTAGGATTTACCACTAGAAAAAAAGTCTATCACCCATCCCCACTCCCCACTCCCTACCCTGCCCCATTACATATATATACACACACACACACACAAACACACACACCATTACACACACACACACACACATACAGCCTGTTTCCCCCTCGCTCCTAAGCAGGATGCTGAACAGCTTGGGAAAGCTCTGGGGTGGGGAATACATCCTGGTCGGTTGGGACAACAGTGTCACCAGAAGGTTGACGCCCCTGACTCTACCAGGGTGTCCTTGGCTGGGTGGTGTCTGTGCCCCATTTTCTGTGCTCCACCACAGACCACAGTGGCCTGGTATCAGCAGTGGCCAGACACCACTCTGACACTCTTAAATCAAGTCCCAAGATGGAAGTCTGCTACACACAGACGGGGATCTTTATGGGGAGTCTTGGTTTCCTGAGCGACAGACAATCTCATCTTCCAATCACGCCAAAGCAGCGGGACTCTGAGAGCCTGGAAGTCAGGCTGACAAGAGGAGAAAGAGAACAAGGTAAAAAGGCACCACGGTACCGCAATCCTATTAACGATGAGGCCGGCCTCTAGCAGTTTGCTTCAGTGGCAGAAATTCTGCTCCTGGAAGCAAGAGTGAGCTCAGAAGTGTGGGAATGTGTCTTTGGCCACATTTGCATGGGAATCAACTTGCCTCCGAACCCCTGGGCCATCTCCCAGATGGAGAACTCCTGCCTCACAAGGTCAAGACCAAGATCACACCTGCAGTAGCCGCTGAAGTGTCCGGTCTGTAGCATATCCCACTGTCAGGTCATGGCCCCACCACAAAAGAGCTGCACTTCCTTGTCCTTCTTGGTCATGGCCACCTCCTCCAGGGAGTCTGGAACTCCTTCTCAGCTGAGCCATCTGGCTTATTTCCAGATCTTTGTTCAGCAAGCTGTCACTATGCACAAGGTCCCACTGACCACCAAGGACAGAGATCTGCTTCAGGTCCAAGGTGGAGGTGGAGATTTGGGGCTGCCCATTAAAACAGTAAGAGCTCTGCCCACCCACGATTGTCTGACAACCCCCCGAGTGCTTCCTCTCTCCCCACTTCCTCTTGGGGGCTTCTGGCCAAAAGAGCATGAGTCTGCCTTGGTGGCAGCTCCCTATCACTCAGGGCCTCAGATAGATGTCTCCGATCCTCGGACTCTTCCTAGGATGTGACAGCTTCCAGACTCTGTGGCTTGGAGAAACATCCTGGAGGCCTTCTGAAGGGCTTGTCCCCTCCTGGGCCACAGAGCGT